CAAGGTGTGTGTCAGATCGCATAAAAGAGTATCATACCCCATCACAAATTTTGTAAGCCTACCTGTCATCCGGNTTGTACAAGTACCTACCTTCAAAATTACCTAACTTCAGATGAAATTGGAAATCACACCAATCAGAAATTGTGGTGACAGGCCCCCTTCAAGGAAGCGAGGGCAACATGACAATCAAGTGGACACCTCCAAAATTGGATGTCTGCACGTTCACTACCCTTGGGGTGATAAAAAAGTAAACTGTTTCTAAAGGGTTCATTCCCACTGACACTGTCAGACTGCGTAGAACGATTCAACTCAGGGGGGAATCTTGCTGAATACAGTCAGTTAAGCAGATTAACAGGCCTCCTCCTAGCGTTGAAAAGAATACAGAAAAGCTAGTGATTATTCGAGTATGTAGGAAACAAGGAGAGGCGTGTTAATCTTGTTAACGGATTGTATTCAGCGAAAGTTCCTGCGGACTTGATCGATCCACGGAGACCGATAGTTTCAATGGGATTGAGTCCTGAGAGGCTGAAAGCGTGTTTTTACCTAGGAGACATGACATTTTGGCCCTGCCTCAAAGGAGCTTGATCGCGTGCCTGCATGCCTCCTCGATGTCACGGTATAACCCGCAGGTTATTTAAAAGAATGAATTATTTGAGGCAAAATTTTTAATGTAAATATGCGAGGTTTTATAGCGTGCGTGCATCGTCAAAATAAAGTTCTTTATGACGTTTTACCAAGACACTTGTACACAAACATGTACACTCTTGGTTAAAAGTGCATTTAATTTTGAAACAAATAAATGCAACGTTTAGTTAGGGTAGCCTCCTGAAACTATATACTGCACGATATATCTGACTGGCAGATAGGCAACAAGTTCTATCTGTGTTCCTGCCCGCGTTTTTACTGGCATCCAGTATGGCAGAAGGTAGGTATACACATTCAGAATGACATATTTATAACCGTATAGGCGCACCGTGTGGTTATTTACTATCACTGGACCAATACATCGTAGTTTACCTGAAATGATATCTGAAAATAACAGGAAAGACAACGCTTTCATACGATATGAACGCCTTCGGAGGCAAAACATGATTTATCAGATTTATTTTTGGTCTATAAATCGCAAAGCCAATATAACAACGAGCTTATTGTAGACCCCCGCTCTGCATGATCCGCTCTCCTGTGTAAACTTACGACGCTCCGGTTATTTTTAAAGCTGGACGGTTACTCCACCCTGGCTGACACTTGAACGCAACAGTGCATAAATTATCTAGAAGTTAACTAGAAGATAATTTGCTTTAAGCCAAAACATCAAGCTACAAGCGCAGGAAGATCATATATGCATCTGTAGACGCTTTGGCTAGTACATATATATGTAGGCCTACTGTAAAACAGCGATCCGTTGGTGAGAGCTCTATCAACAGCGAGGTCACATTTCGAGCTGACCGCAAAGAGCTTTGGCATTAATGTGATAGAAATTATTTCGATGCTTCACTTAAAACAAAAGTAAATATTTAAGTTCCTTGGAAAGTCACAAACCTATAGTTTAAAGTCACAAAAATGCCTAACCTAACCCAACCTTTATTACGTTAATGATAAATCTCAACGTATAAAATTGGGGTACATTTTAGCTTTAAACAAAATTATAATGAAGTAAAAAGTTGGCATTTCAAAAAGATTAAGGTTGTGTTCAGAATAGAAGTTATCGTACTAGCAGGATCGATCTCAGCGGGGATTCTCGCAGAAGTGCGATCAATGTAATCAACTCAATTGTCTGGCACGCCCCCTTCTATTCTGAACACAGCCTAATACTGGGTTCCCATACTTAGATCGATCCATCTGGATCGACCTAACTCCCTGGAGGTTCACGCTAAATTGCTATCAGCTCAAGAGGCTTAAATGACTGTCACGAATCAGCTAGTGGTAAAGATAATTATCCCCTAACAGTTTTACTAGACTTGACAGATGTTTAAGCCGGTTAGTTTTTATAGCAATTTAGTGAGACTCCCCAGGGAGAGAGATCGATTCAAATATCTGTGGGAATGGTCCCTTAAAGGTACATGCACTAGCTTGGACATGTAAGTCATTCGAGAATTACTTGCTTAAACGAATTTCCTAGGGAAATACTATTTCTCTCACTCACAAATCATTGGTCGACCAGTACCTGCACTTGGATTCAATGTTTTATTCCATTTTTAACTTATATATTTAGTTTTAAATGACTGGAAAGTCATTTAGACCGACATCTGCCTTCCCGACATTCACAGTAAAACGTTCCAGATATGGTCTCGTTTTCACTTCACAGCACAAGAAAATGACACGGTTTTTCTGCATCATGGCCTTGTATCATTTGAACAGACGGTGATGGTGTCGTTTCCCGCTTGAAATCGCTAAAAGTCACGGCTTCCATTGGTGAGAAAGAAATAACGACATTTGGTACGCATCAGATTAATTTTAGAGATTTTATCGTCATTTAGGTTTGAATGGAGGAAATGTGAGAAGCTTTGCGGAATAAAAAATAAAACTGTGGGGCAATTTTCAAACGAGCGCAGGATGCCTTTTATATTGACTATTGTAAGTTTCAAGCCTTATAATGTAGACCGATTATGATAATCATACTTTATCGTGACAATACAGTTTCGAAACTAAATCATAAATAATACTAGTAAAGCAATAAATACTAGTAAACTGTAGTGGTAAAGGTCCCTCTTCCCGTACAAATGTCAAGTAAATAAAATACGACTTGGGTAATTGAAATTTTTGAAGAAAGGTAGCACATGTACCAACCAAAATGTGTTCTTAAACAAACATAAGTTATGATATTAAAGCTAATTTAACTAAAAGAAGAGGCTTTTCAGATCACGCACGAGATTGTGACGAGGTCAATCGGTGCCCATTTAACTGTGTACATCAAGAAAGGTTAAAAGCGAGAAGCGCAGTAACGAGACTTTCAGTTTGTAATAGGATGACGATGGGTTGACGTCAGCTATAATTCTGATAGCACGAAACACACTAATGTCAAACAAATTAATTTTCTAATGCTCTTCTGTAAGAGAAAATTACATTTTAGAGTTGCGAGTTCTTTTTCATTTAAGATTATTTGTTTTTCATGTGTTAAAGCTTGCTTAAAGAAGTTAATAGTTATGACATACATGTAATGGTGATATTGTCTTTTATCTCTAAGTAACTAAACTGGTGAAATCGATTCAATAAAAATCAAATACATATTACAGTGCATGTATCCTACCATGTTATCAACCCCTTATCAACTTGAAAGTGACTCACGTTGCATGTGTACATAAGAAAAGGGTTTGATATAAGTGTACCCCAAGGAATGAGTTTCAAAATAAATAAATAAATGAATCCTTATTTTTCTTAAATATATAATTAAAAAACTGTTTTAGAACATTTTATTTCTAACAAGCGGGTTTCAGTGTACAAAATATGTTAAGAAGATGCCCCATGTGAACTGCCCGTTTTTCGTTTACCTAAGAACACCGTAGGGCGGACTAGCTGGTTCCATGATTTCCAAAACAAATACGCCCCGATAAGCTAGTGTTCATCCACCATGCGACTATTAATCCCACTATTAAGATAAACATGAGTGGTTTGTAGCTGCAGATAGCAAACATGCTGTTGTCTTCTTAGATGGCTCTCTTAAACATAGGCCTATATCATGTTGAATAAAACTATGTCTATTCTTGAAATCACCAAAGCAGGAATCAGGACCAGCATCAGTCAGAAACAGGTTTTCCAAACAGTGATTCTGCTTTTGATTTTTTTTTTTACTTATATATGAATCCTTATCCAATAAACAAAAATATGTTTTATAGCTTTCAAACATGTATCTACACAAAAGGTGTACAACAAGGTACAATCAAGCGCCCACACTGGTAGTTCCAACCTTTGAGAAGCAGAGGTTCTAGCTGTGTCATTTCCGCTCTGTTCTCTTCCTTTTTGTATGTGAAATATTATCTTCGTGCTCCGGAATAACAACGTATCCTGGAACACAATCAACGTGTCACAGTGGGCACAGATTGATACATGTAGCGTTTATGGGTACTAAGTGTATGTTATCAGGAACGGCAATACATTCTTGATGTTATACATGTACGTGTGCTCCATGAAATGCGTTGCAAAATATGAACAATCCTGCTTATTTTCTTCTCAGTTGCAAGTGTCATGTCATGTGTTTTTCATTTGAAAGCCATTGTTTCAATTGTAGCTCGATATAACGTTTGTTAAATCAAGGAATTGATGAAAACAGTGCACAAGTCGGAGTAACGTTACCCATAACGACAACATGTTAACCTGAGGCATAAATTCAGTGCCTGATTCATCTTGAAAGTTGCGTTTTAAAATTCAATAATGCCCTGTGAAGGTGCTACAAGTGATTTATAGGTATCATAAACGAACTGTATCACCCCCGTCACTGCGATAAACTAGATAACTGATCTAGACTCCTTCCGCGTGAACTTGACACGCGTGTTAAGGCCCCGCAAAGGATTTGTACATGCATGTACAGTTTTGTATCTTACCCCTGTAGACAAGGTGCAACGAGTTTTTGGGTGGATTTTTTTTTCAATTTAATTGAATAGAAATAGCTTATATAACTTACTATTCTGATTTTGTTTTCTTAGTTGTACGTCATTTTATGTACCATATCCTTAATATAATGCAATATTCAAATAGATGAAAAAGGTATATGGTATCTACCAATATTTAGGCTAAGATAATTGTTTTGCAAGGAATTGATTTCACAAATATACTCTTATTTAGACCAGAAAATGCCCAACTGACTATTTTCACAACGATATACCAATACTGCCGACGTAAAACAGGCGTCACAAACTAGTCACAAAAATTACACGCTTTCACTTTATGCAGAATGTTGCCAGGTCAGAGACTCGCTCAGTGGGGTCTGTTCCCCTTAGGAAATAAACGCAGTGCTATTATTTAGCATTACCTGTGTGCATGAATAAATATTTATATATCCTTACCCGTGTATGATTACTCTTCTTCTATAGCCTTCAGTGTTCATGGTGCTTATTCTTCGTGTTGTAACATCCTCATGTGTTACAAATAAGAAAAAACTACCCTACTGGCAAAACCATATACACGTCTGCGCCAAAACGAATATTCTCCCGCTATACCACTATATTTTCTCGATATTTATCTAGATAAGAAACACAGCATTTGAGCTTTGTCTGTACTGTAAAACTCTTCCATGATTCGACAGTATATAGTGATTAGATTCAGGCGCAATGGTTGATGTTATCACTATAAACGTGTCGGTGAACGAATTAATCTCCCCTTGGCATGGCATGAACTCTGACACCTGAGCGTCCATAAAACAATAAACCTGACGCCTTAGATGATAACTGACACGCGGGAAACATTGATGAGGGCAGAGATAAAATAAAATAACTTCATTTCGCTTTTATGTCTCCAGACATCTAAAGAGAAAGGGCGGGCATCGTGCTGATAACGGAACATCGTGACGCATTTTTACATGATGTGGCGTTAACATTCAGTGATCTCTGTATTGCACAATTTGACACCTGGCAGCGTGCCTGGTGTCCAGAGGTTAAAAAGCATGCTCTACACGTCGGCTAGACAGGTTAGAAATGACAATCCTGTCAAAAAATCCGAGAACTCAGTCCAGATATGATGCAGTCTGTGTGCATGTTGGTTACTTTCATCGGGTGAAGTATAATCGTAAGACACGATTCTTCTTATCCGGGTTTACGTTACCACGGGCGTATTCGATACTTAAAACGCTTGGCATAATATACGTATGCCCTTATGCCGCTATCAGGTACCTGAAAGCCCTTCCATGGTAAAAAGCTAGGTTCCAATTGATTTGTACAAATCCTGATCTAGGTTTTGGCCCAATATATTTTTCGATAATCTTAACGTGTACAGATGAAATGGATGGCCGACTCCTTGTTACACCACTCTCCGTACTGTACGCATAATCATGTTAAGTCAATACATCTAAACTTTATGAGTACCACTCAGCTCAACTACCCACAGAATTGCACATCTCTGCGCATTTCTTCTCAGTTTCAAGTGAATTCAGCGGTTTTGCAGTCTCGATTAAAATTCATAAAAAAAAACTAGTCTACCACATCAACAAATATTTTGATTTTCTCTTGAACTGTTGATCAAATTTTAAAACGGTAATAAAGTTCAAAACGATTCGTTTTCTTCAGCAGGAGGAAAGGTGAGGTTTTTGCTCGCATTCGTTTCTGATATTGCGCTAATTTGGTACCTTCAATTACATTTTATGAGGACTTGCTGTAACCTCTATCTCCTGGAAGCATAAACAGCCAATGAATGTCAGAACAAGGCTGCTTAGGTCCGTAGTTTAAGAGGCGCAAGTATGTTAAAATATTGGTTCAGTGTCAGATGATTAGTACATTTTTCTCAATATGATATTTTATTTCATAACACGTTTCTATGGTAGTTGAACTCCATTTTAGCTATAACGCAACAAGATTCACACATATGAGTCATTATACGAGATTTTTTTTCAGCAAATTGAATGCGTACGAGTTTCATAATACGGGGCTTATATTGTGTGCGTAATGCCTTCTAAATAATTCAAAATTTTTGAATCATGAGACACCATTGTCAGGCCATTTTAAAACCACATTTTCCTTCTTGTTTACGTATGCTTAGAGCTTATATTTTAGCAAAATAGCCGTTTTGTAAAATCATAACTGCATGTACGTCCAGTCATGGACAAAAATTCGTTATTATGTCCAAGGTCTAGTGTGAATGACTACTGACATCAGTTGTGCAATCTAAACTCATCGACAAAATTCAGGTGTGACTAAAATCACTGTGTAAAGCTTTCTCTAAATTGCCGCCCTTGGAAAATCTCATCGCGTAGAGATGTGCAAGCACATGCTGGACTGCCAAATGTACACTTTAAAGGTGCATTCCCAGAGATTTAAATCGATCCAGAGATTTAGATTTAGATCGACCTAACTCCCTGGGGGTTCACACTAAATTGCAGTCAGCCGAGCACGCACCACAGTTAATTACCCCCCTTACAGCTTTTAGTAGGAGACACAGACATTTAAGCCTGTTAAGCTGACACCAATCTAGTGAGACTTCCCAGGGGGATAGATCGATCTAAATATCTATGGGAATGGGGTCTAACGGTAGCATGCAACTGGCGATCCAAATACCATTTGTGTCTCCACACCATCTTATTGCATGTGTAACTAATGACTTGTGTACATGTTACATGTTAGACAAGAAAGATGTAAGCTGCAGCTCTAAGATATCGAAAAAAGTAAGATATAAATCAGCGTTTTTCGCTCACATAATTGCTCCCCTTCAAGAAGGGGTTACGGGAGTTGATCACTTGATATCAGCCGAGATTCTCAGCGAATAAAAATCTTTTGTTGCCTTATAAAATCCCTTTCAAATATAGTTAGTGACTCTCAGTTATCAAGAGTAAACCGACTCAATCCTCCAACTAAGAAACTGACCATTGAGTTAGGCAAGATGTCTTTAAAAGGGCTGTCTCTATCTAAGGCAAAGTAAAGATCCACACGTAGATCCAAAATTCTTCTTCAACTTTTAAGTTAAAACATGAAATGTTATTTTTCTATGATAATATACAGAGTGACGAAAAGAGTTGTATGCCTCTACCATTCAACAAGGATAAAAAACATGCAGATCCGTTGCAATGGATCAACGAAAGTTTGTGATTGATGATAGCTAACACACAATCTATTCTTAAGCGTCATACATTATTAATTGCAGAACATGTAAAATCTAGCTTGTTTTGCGATTCTTAAGTTTCCGCTAAGGTGATTACAATACAAAAGACTTGCTTCCAAGCATGGATTCGCAATAAAACGAGAGTATTTTTTCGTATCAATAGATCGGACAAAGATTGAACCAAACGATTTATTTAATTAAAAGCGATTAACGGTCGCGCTACATCACAGAAATCAGAAGACATTGATCCACCAATACCATTAGAAAAAGAAATACCTTTTCAATCATTTCACACCTTTTTCATTACATTAACTGGCCAAGTAATTGCTTGTGCTTTTGGATCCGCTGCAAAACAAGGTGCGTGATCGTGAATGTCATCTTTTTTCATTAAAAGTGTACATGAAAAATACATAAATGCACGCAAGTTCGCCACCTATATGGCATTTTAATGTGTTAACGCCATTTGTCATGCTTAGTCGCTGAACGTACAACAATACTTTTTCCGCGTCGAGAAGTGTGTGCGCTTAAAATTGCTATCTTAGTGGTTTTTGGATATTTTGTTTGGCACAAAATTGCCCAATATAGTGTTATAAACATGTTTTTTTCGTCTGATTAGAAAACATAAATAAAATGTTTCGAAATGTATAGAGGTCATATCAACTGATAAACACCTGTTAATTCACGATATCTTAATAGATCAAATAGTGAGTTGCCTTACTTTATCACGATAAAGTGTACCTTTGGACATTTTTTCACGCTGTGCCTGTTGCTCTTGTCACTATTACATACGCGTTCATTGTGTATTTCAGTTCAAAATCATTACGACAGTATGTTGTCAGACCTTTCTCCAAACGTTTCAATCACGAGCCAGTTACTGACGGGTTGGTATTTGCCTGTGTAGGACACTTTAGCAAACTGCTAATCTTTCTGAAAGTATGGCTTTCGTGCAAAAAAATGAATAGTAATAAGAAAAGTACCACGTGAAGGGATTCTTTCATCAATGTCTCATTCACCCGTCATCTGTGGTGATCAGATTTGAGAAAATCTTATTAATTTTTTACGAATGTTTGAAGGCATAAAGATTCAATCTAACATCTCATTTCCAGGAAATAATAGTTATAGATGGTTAAAAATGCAGTTGGCCACGCGCACCGGTATGCGCCCCAAATGGCCATGTGTCACTGTGTGCCTTATCATATACGCTTATGTCACTTTGTTATGTTAAGAGCACATGTAGGGCCGGCCTAAAGCTAGACATTTAAGTACGTGCAATAACTAATTCAAAGTACATGACTGCAGACACCTGACGGCTTTTAATGTAAAATATGTGTTAAATGTCAAACTAACATCATGTCGCCCAGTTGGTGTATTCACCAGAGGCATATCTCCTTGATGATGATAATAATGATGATAATGTTTTATTAAAAGCACAAATATTACAACGGATTTGACTTAACATCTTACATGTTTAAGTAATACAGTTGTACAGTCAGGGGCATGATATATACAATCCACGATTGAATATATAGATTGAATACTGACATATATATATATATATATATATATATATATATATATAGACTTGACATTTAATATGGAATATTTTTTTCCAAATCATTTTTCTTCAGTTTTTTCCGATTTTACTGACTGATAAATGAAAATAAGGATTAAAATCATGTTTTGATAACTTTTTATTATCTCTTTGATGTCATTGTGACATCAGTTCATTAATGGAATTCGCCAGAGAAGCAAACAAAAACACATTGCAATTTCCTATTCTATGTCATACGACGACCATTAAAAGAGATATTTTGGATCTCCATATTTTCCAAATTATTGTCTGTAAAAGAGTTACACGCTCCACAAAGGACCCTCATGTCAGTGTCTAGTCACAGGAAAGGTCGCTGTTACGCCTGAACTCTTCTGGCTGCTACCAGCGCTCTCAAGTGGCAAGGCATTCCTTGGGATAGGTTTTTAGAGTTCAATCTGGAATAATATTCCAGGCATCGGTCAAAGTTTGTCCAATCTGGTCCAGTTTTGTTGTAGGTCATGTAGGCCATTGATTCAGCGAGTAATGGCCTACCCACATATTGTCTATGTGGTTCAAATACGGCGATTTTGATGACTTAGGTAGCTGCTGATTCCCTTGGTTCTGTAAGTAATCTGCTATTAAAAGTGCTCTGTGTGAACCGGCAATCTCACCGTGCAACCTAAAATTTTTCTTAAGTTCCCCCTATCAAATGATAGTCAAGTGGTTCCCAGATTATTCCTTTATTTGATCTGGTTCAGGTTTTCGTCTATGACTACCATTGGTGTTTTGGCACCAATGTGGTATCCACCCCAAATACTGACACTGTTAATGACCTTAGTCACTTTAGACGCGCCACACGCTTCGTCGTTGGCCTCTTCTGGATGTCTGTAAGCTCTGTTTTGACTAATTGAGCGGTACAGGTGAAATCTGACCTCATTAAAGAAAGCCACAAGGTTTCAGTGTTCAGCCCAGAAACGGCCAATGTCCCCAATTTATTAGAG